AAAATGTATTTTTTGTAGCATTCATTTGAATCTTTCATCAGACATCTGATGTGATTAGAATATGGATAAAACAAATTAGGCTACAGCTATATGCATTACTGTAGATAAGTCTCAATACTTGATGTCCAATTTAGTTTTAACATGTCTTCATTCCAGATGCAGAAAGTCAACCCCAATCCTTGAAAGCAGACTTGAAAGGTGCAACTGAGAAATCAGGACCACAGAAAAATGTCCCACCTGTAGACAGCAAGGAATCCAAGAATTCCCCCAAACGACAAAATGAAGAGAACATTGGCAACCAGAAGAAGAAGGTGATTATATCTCTCACTGATTTGCATTTTAGTTTTTAAGCTCAGAGATCATTTTGCTTTATACTGACAGGTTCTGTCCGTCCCATTTAAATCAGCGTGGGAAGGCTGAACAACAGAAGCATCTTCTGAAATCTACATCCTCCAAAAAGATCCATGAAGTTGAATCAGCATCTCTGTAAAACTAAACATTACAAGCTTGATTTTAGGACTGTTGCACTGTTGGAAACCTAATGAACTGGCAACTCTGTATTTTTCTAAGGTTTGGAAACTTGCACAAATCTGTTACTTAAGTCTTTACTTAAGTTAACAAAAGATGATTTTATGAAAAAATTCTTCACCCAAGAGTTGAGTCTGAATGCCACAATCTATTCTTATGACTTCCTATGAATAGGAAATGACAAACTTATGTTGATATTTTTTGTTTGGCCTGGCTCAGGTTAATCCCTTTTGAAAAACAAATGCATACAATGAATGAATGACATAGAACTAATTATATATTCTAGTTTGACAGTCACAACTGTAATATAGGGATATACAACAATTACCCCCTTAAAATATTTTGAAACTGAAACGTTACCCTACTCGTGGGACATTCCAGCGTGAAATATTAATAACACAAAACATAATTCTACATACATTTTAAAAGTAACTTACATGTTTAATACATGCCAACAAAACTAAGGATCTGTGGATTACCAGTAAAGTGGATTTTAAAACTGATCCTCTCCCTTTTTGTCATGATAGAAGAAAAAGAAGAAGAATAAAAAGAAGAAAGATGGCAACATAGTGTCAGACCAGGACCAGAGCCTGTCACATGTCTCCCTGGAAGACGACCAGAGGACGCAGGACAGAAGAGGCTCCTCTGACAGTGAAAGCTCAAACAAAGCAGTGGATGAAACACCAGACTCACTCCAAGATGAGGTCTCCTTAGTGGACAGCCAGCCCAGTTCCCTAGTAGCTGACAGTCCTGCTGCACCATCTGAAGACGCACAAGTCATCCAAAGTGAAAATCCTGCTGCGACAGCGAGGCAGTTGGAGGAAAGTCAAGGACACTCTAATGAGGTAGAGAGCAACGCACAGAAAGCAAATGAAGATCAGACACTCGAGACAGCAGTGGCCGACACTCCGACTCAACACCCCACGTCAGAGGACAAGGGTACGACTCCTCAGTCAGGTACAGGTAAAGAGACCAAGGCTGCTAACCCTAAAGATCAAAAGGCTGAGAGTAAAAACTCCAAGAAAGAAGCAATGGCCACCGAGCAGCCATCACAGGACCAGAACGCCAACCTACAACCAAGTGTGAAGCAGAAGGGACAAACCAAACAGAAAGGAAAGAGTCAGCAGGACCAGAAACAGAAGCAGACTGTGGCAGCCGAACAAAAGATGGTTTTTGGAACATCGTCAAAGGTAACAGGTTATTGTCCTTACTGAGAAACAGAAACCTACATTTTAATTTGTCAACATCAGTTTCATGTGTTTAGGGTGTAGGGCAGGCAATCTATATTT